TCTATGGGTATATATCAAGGGTCTATATACATACGTGTATGCTATATCTTTAATAGGTTTTCATTTACAATAGACAATCAATTGATGGATATACTCTATGCTGACCATATTTGGCTGTGAATGAGGCAATTAAATAGCTAGACGGACTGGTAAATAAAACACTATTGTAATCATTTTCTGTTCTTTTAGGCTATCTAATTATAGCTTAGTTGACTCAAGCTATGCCAATATCTACGATCTCTAGGAATGTAGGAAAATCGGTATTTATTTGAGTTACGGCGTTCTTAGCTTACAAAACTGTTCATAAATTATATATAAAATAATATTGGAGCTCTAGAAACTGGAATAGCACTGTATATACAGTAGAATCCAGGCATAATGACGGTCCGTTGAGTGTCGTTATAACCGGATTTTAATGTACTTTATTTAAGAAATAGCTCCTACTTCATCTGGTATAGAGATATGCCCGAAAAATATTTGAGTTCTACTCATTTGAGCTATTGCATATCGGAATACATGATATGTTCTGCAGCTCAGTTGCTTTTAGTTCTCGAACGAGTATTGTGCAGTCGGTTATGCAGTCGCTTCCTAGTTCTCGCTCTTAAGTTCAAGCACCTCAGCCGCTGTGTGTGTGCTGAGAGCCCCTGGGCCTAGGTATAGAGAGAGCGAGAGGGAGAGAGAGAGAGAGGGAGAGGGAGAGAGAGACGGAGTTCGCGGCGAGTCGACGTTAGATTTGTGCGCACATTGGTCGCCCGTTTGCTGCCCTTAGAGGCGAGTCAGCTCAGCGTTTATTGTAACATTCTTTATAAACTGCACACAATTCGTGACTGCAATCGTCCGCCCCCCTTTGTGCAGCTCCTTCTCCCTATTGCAGTTTGTTTTGAGTTTGACTCCAGAGGTAATAGAGGCAGAGGAAGCGGACGAGGCGCATTCCAATATGGGTCAAACACAGCAGGCATATCAAATGCAGCCCCCACGGCTCGGGCAGCAGCATTCCAAGCTTCATCTCCTCCTCGTCTTCAGTTTGCAATGCAGCAATCTGCTGTCGACCATCTCTCTGTCTCTCTCTCTCTCTCTCTCTCTCCCTCTATCTCTGTCTGTGTGCGAAGACTTGGCGGATTTTGTTGGGATTCTCTTGATATGGCCAGCAATCGACTGAGACGCAACATTTTTGCCTCTCCCGTTCCCAGACATGAAATTGAATTAATTCTAGATTACAGACTACAGAGATGCGTTACGAGCATTTCCCTTTGAGTTAGTTAAAGCGAAATAGACAGAGAAAAGGCTAGATCTGTCTGTAAAAAGGCTAGATTGCCAGCAGTGCCTTGAAAAACGTCTCTGATAATTCCCACTGGATGCGTAGCTATGCGAGCTGACTATCTGCGCAGCTGTTTCTAGGAAAGCGAAATCGCATGAAGTGCATTGAGGCCTGCAACAATTTTTAATTCATAATTCTCAAGTGCTCAGCGCTGGGTGGGCGTGGCTTTACCTTGATTATTGATCACATTGTTAATTTGAACGGCAGGCATTATCAAAATCGCAATTGACATAAGGCAATATACCTAGCCCCAATCTTAACTCGATTGAACCCGAGACTGTGATTTAAAAACAGACAAATTTGAAATTCTTTCATATATCAAATGTATATGTAAATATATGCCCTGTCTTTATCTCAACCCACAATTAAATTTAATATTTTTCTATATAAGAAATTTAGCATTATATATTTAAACTATCGCATTTACATGAGCTTAACCAATTTGCAAGCTAAAGAAATGCATTTTAAAAACAATTTTACTTTAGATCTTAATTATAATATTCTTATTAGAATTGCATATGCCTTTGAGTTGTTTGGGCATAGAATTCGCAGCAGCACACATGAATGGGAACAGGATGGGGGAGGGGGAACCCCTCGCTGAATGGGGCTGGGGCACGACTCGCATGAGTTTATAAATAAAATAAAATGAAGAGGACTTGACTTGAGCAGCAGATGGGACAGAGGCAGGGGAGGCACGAGGGAGACAGCATATGCAACACTAATATCAACGCAAATCCTCTAGTCTATACGTCTCTTTGAAAATATATATCGCGTCTGCCAAAACGTTTGACAGCTTTGCTCCACTTTTATGTTCGCTATGCACATATTTATATAGATATTTATATAATTAAAGAGACAAAGCATCAACGTCAAATGCGTAGACAGATGTGCCTTGTTTTTGGTTAATCTATTCATATGCTCAACCATATATGCCTTATTGACATTTTTGAGAGAATCTGTCAGTCTGTCTGTTTTTCTATCTCTCTGTCTGTCTGTTTATTCGTCTTGCTGTCTCCTTGTCCGCAGAGATTCAGCTGGAGCGCTGCAGCTGTAGAAGTTGCTGAACAGGGCGACACAAGATTTTTAGCGTAGACACCAACCAAAATTAAGACTTAGCATTAGCAAGTGCAACAACCACTGTCAAGCTTTTGTCATTGTATTGCCGCTAGATGGCGCCAGCTGATCTTATATTGTAATTTATTTTGTATTAATTTGTTAAATGCAAATAATTTATGAATAATTACTATTATTATATAGATATAATTCAGTTTATTATTATAAAAATTTTGTAATATATTTTTGTATATCTGCATTTTAATTGATAACTTTTGCCAGCATTATTTAATTAGACTAACTTGGCTTATATATATATTGTATATAATTATATTTATGTATAGGGCATCTGTTAGTTAGTTAAGCCCGCTATGTGCTATCATTTAATGTGTACCCCTTGAGGTTAATGACCCCGCATGGCGTGGATTTTTGACAGCCACTTGGCTTGGTTATTGGACATAAGATTTTCTTTTGAGATGTTTGGCCACCCAAGCAGCGTTTCCTGTGGTTTTTATATAGCTAAAAATTTAAATATATAGTAGCTGATTTCTGTCTCTGACGCCTCGCTTGGCAATAGCTACCCTCTACTCAAAAGCTAATTCTTAAAAATATATATATAAAACACCTATGTATTAATGAGTTGCCTACCTGTGACACCCTGTCCGCCGTGCAGCACCCTGTGAAACGAAACTTTTTGGGCTGTCTGGCTGCTGCCTGTCTGCGAATCCCCCCAGCAATGGGCAATATGCCAAAAAGTGCGAGCAGAGAGCAAGAAAGAGAGGAAGAGAATGATCGAGAGAGGGAGTGAGATAGAGAGCATCACTGAGTGCGAGAGAGAGTCCCCATTTCTCGCTCATTTGCAACTGTAGCCGATCAAACAAAAATTCTTTCAATCTTACAAAATTTTGCGCTTGATCATTTTAGTTAATGTCGCGTTTCGGTGGCGTTTCCATTGATAAAGCATCAAGAATTCAAAATAATTTGATGCTTCGTTCGCATTTCAATTGCCCAAACACCAAATACATTTGATTAAAAACGATAATTAAAAATCTGAAAAAAAAAATTTACAAAGATAAATTGTGAAAAGAAAAGTTGAAATCCAAAGACAGACAAAACAGTGTAAAAATGAATTCAATTGTGTTGTGCGTCTTCAAATGATTTGGCAGTATGAACAAATATAAAGATTTACGATTAATCGCTAGCATTATCATGGACATGTGTTCGAAGCGTGATTGAATATTACTCGAGATGTTCGATATGTGTTTAGTTGAAGGTTTCACATTATGAGTTGATTATGCTTGGGTGCGGCTAGTTAAAAGTGCAAAAGATATGGGAAACGATTTCAGATTTCGGGTTCATCAAGGTTGCCTAAATTGAATAAAACTTTAATGGAATTCTACGCAGTTTAGCTTTGCCTTGTTAAGCATTTCAAGTGAATTAAAGTATAGATTTTTTTCATGTTACTCTAATTTCACTTGACTTTTCTAAGGGCGCCTCTAGACCATAGAAAATATCGCAAGGGCTTGTCGAAAAATATTTGTGTAACGCATTCAGTTGCTTGTGGCTTTTGGCATTATTGCAACATAGCAACAAGATCTCAAAATAAAACATACAACAGCAACAACAGAGACAATAACAACAACACTGAAGGCAATTTCGGATGCTAACAATTTTAGAAATTCATTCTAAATTTGTCTAGCGACAGAAAACAAAACAACAAAAAAAGAAGTAAGAATGCTGCGGACGAGCTCTACCGACTGCTACATACTTGTTTACAGTGCGAAAAAATTTGTAAAACGCATAAAGCAATATACCCCTTTTGATTTCCTGAACGAGTGTCAAAATAGTCAACGGCTGAAACGATTTGCTCTCAATTGTTGATGGATAAACTTTTTGGCATTTCTCAATGGAGAACGTTTTCTTTTTTATTCGATTAATTCCTAACACGCCTTTTGGTCTTTTCTTCTGCGTCGATTCCAAATTATTTATTATAGTTTTGTTGTTGATTTTGAGCACATCTGAAAATATGCTTTTTCGCCTAGACTTTTGCATCGTTAATTCAATTCGAACATACTTTTCACTTCCCAGCTGACCTTCGTTCTATCGTTTATTTGTTTTTCTTTTCGTAATCGTTTATTTCAGTTTATTTACTTGGGCGGAAATGCATTTACTCTGACTGTGCATTCAAATGCGAATGAGAACTCGACCTCCGTCCCCTCATTGGCACGCAGTCGCCCTTGCTATTCACTTTTATCGCGCCCACATTAAGTATTCATGGTTGTTAAGACACGGCTGATTCCTAATTGGCGTTAAGTATACGCAAGGGTAGATGCCTAGCTCCATGTTATAGCCTTGTAGATTTGCTCGTTGTTTTGGGTCAGTCGACACTATCAACATGTGGAAAGTGCTTGCTCTTTTGCTTGGCTTGGTCATCTGCTCGAGCTCGGAACTCCAAAGTACCAAAGATATGGCAGCAAAAAGTTGTCGAATTGCCAGAACTGAAACAGCTCAAATCACCTACATCTATCGCTGCGTTACCTGCGTCGCTACTAGTTCTGTTTCCTATTTGGAGTTGGAGCAGGATCTGCACCTTTGCATTGGAGCTCAGTTGCCCAGTTGCATGCGAAGCCTGGAGGCTCATGAAGTTGAACCGATTCGAGAGACAAATAGCATGAATATATTCCTGATTCCTGCAGGCGACGGAGGTCAACCTCTGGTCCGTCGTATCGTGGACATGCTGAATCCTCGACAGCAACGCCGACATTTCCATAAATATCTGTTCGTGTGGCCCGAGGCAAGCGAGGATCAACTAAGAGAACTATTCGAAGGCTGCTGGAGTAAGCAGTTGCTCTTTGGTTTGGCCATTACCGGACCAGACACTATCTATGATTTCCAACCGTTTGGTGAACAAGGCTTGCAGCTGACAAAGTTGATCTCCGGCAGTGATGTCTACTACGTTGATAAGTTGAAAAATTTGAACGGATTTGATCTCCGCTTCTCAATGTTCGTTAGTCCGCTGCGGGCACTACCTTTGGAACCAGTTGAGAGCAAGGGTTATCAGGCAATTGATGGGAACGTTGCCCGACTTATAGCGAAAAAACTAAATGCTACGGCCAAATATGTTACGCCTAGTGATAATGACTCCTATGGACGTTGCTTGCCCAATGGGAGCTTCACAGGTGTCGCTAGGGATATAATAAATGGTGAGACTCATATTGCAATGAACTTTCGATTAATAAGGCCGTGTATCGTATCTCGTGCGGAGTACATGTATCCTTACACCCGACTGAAAATCGTTTTGGTGGTGCCTGCAGCGGGAATGCAGCCGGAGTTCCGGATCTTTGTCACTGCCTTTCAGAGGTCCGTGTGGCATCTACTACTCGCTAGCTTCCTGGCAGTTCTTCTGATCAATGTTGTATTACAGTGGTTTTTGGAGAAAATTGTAGGAGAGCCACGTTGCCGTTGGTACGACGTTTTTGAAATGCTTTTCAAAACACATTTAGGCCAACCTGTGGATCATTTTACGAGAATTAGCTCCCTACGGATGTCTCTCATCGGATGGATCCTATTCAGCTATGTGTTGACGACGATTTACTTTGGCAAGCTGGAAAGTACTTTTGTCCAGTCAAGTTTTGAGGAGGAGATAGACACGGTGGATCAGTTTTTGACACTTGGTGTACAAGTACATGGTATAAACGCGCTACTAGACGCTGCGCGCCGCTCACTACCGGAACGTCAATATAATCAGCTAATGGCAATCACAAAAATACATCCAATTAATGATAGCGAGAACTTCTATGTGCTAAAAGTAAGCCGGCAGAACAGGAGAACAGCCTTTGTTATACGCAGTGATATAGCCAAAGAATTCGTGGCACGCACCTTTAACTCTGAGGTGGGACGTCCCAGTTATCATATTGTCAAGCAGTATCTGAGATCACTACCGGGCGCCTATATCCTACCGATGGGCTCCCCGTTTCGTTACAAGTTTCAGAATATTTTAAGTACTCTCCATGAGCACGGTGTCTTAGAGCATTGGAGGCGCATGGATATTCTGCAAAAGAGCCGGACTTCAGGTCAATCCGACGATGACCAAACGGACACAGAAGATGCTGCAGATGAGTTGGAGTGGAGCAAGAAACATGTAGTTCTCACTTTAGGAATTCTTCAGGGTTCGTTTTATTTGTTGATTATAGGTCACCTTCTAAGTGTGTTAGTTTTTTTCATAGAACGAGGATATTTTCACTGGCGTCGTCCAGTAAACATGGTTTAGTTTAAGGTGTGCATCTTAAGAATATTCTTTCTTCTAGTGTTGAACAATGTCCAATCTAATGTAAAATAAATAAGTGTGAATTAAAATGTGTCTCAGCATACGAAAACTGTTCGAAACCTGTCGAGGTTAGTAACAAACTTATATTTATCTGGCCTAATAGAATAACAAAATAATGATATTATTTAACAAAAGGGGTAAACATTGTATAACTATAAGAATTTGTTTTATTAAATAAATATATGTGGCTTTGCCTCTTGGGAGTTCTGTCATATTGTTGATTAAACAATCCATTTATGTATTGTGCATTCCCATAGGCTACTTACTTTATGCATATAATTTGTCTTCGGGGTATATAGATTTTGTAATGAAAATGTAAATAACATAGGATCTAGCTGACTGTCGGATTTTAGGGTAACTTTTTGTCCGTCAAGTCCATTTCAAGCACCCTTACTGCTGTTATTTTTTTTTTATTATTGTTTCTTAATTAAAACAACACGCATGTTTAAATGGCATTAATTTACTGGCCAAGCGTTCAGAATTCTTTCGGACCTGTTCCGGAGCAGTTGGTCAATCTCTGAAGCTAAAATGTGGATTTTATTTGGAATTTTTCTTGGGCTATCGAGCAGCACTGCGACTAACATCTATGATACTGCACCGAATCTATCAGAGAGCAGTTGCCGCATTGCCAGAACTGAAGCAGCACAAATCACCTACATCTACCGCTGCGTTACCTGCGTTGCTACTAGTTCTGTTTCCTATTTGGAGTTGGAGCAGGATCTGCACCTTTGCATTGGAGCTCAGTTGCCCAGTTGCATACGAAGCCTGGAGGCTCATGAAGTTGAACCGATTCGAGAGACAAATAGCATGAATATATTCCTGATTCCTGCAGGCGACGGAGGTCAACCTCTGGTCCGTCGTATCGTGGACATGCTGAATCCTCGACAGCAACGCCGACATTTCCATAAATATCTATTCGTGTGGCCCGAGGCAAGTGAGGATCAACTAAGAGAACTATTCGAAGGCTGTTGGAGCAAGCAGTTGCTCTTTGGTTTGGCCATTACCGGACCAGAGACTATCTATGATTTCCAACCGTTTGGTGAACAAGGCTTGCAGCTGACAAAGTTGATCTTCGGCACTGATGTCTACTACGTTGATAAATTGAAAAATTTGAATGGATTTGAATTGAGATTTTCGATGTTCCGTAATCCCTTACGAGCACTGCCCTTGGACCCAGTTGAGAGCAAAGGCTACAGGGCTACTGATGGAAATGTGGCGCGACTTATAGCGGAAAAACTAAATGCTACAGCCAAATATGTTACGCCTAGGGATAATGAAGCTTATGGACGTTGCCTGCCCAATGGAAGTTTCACGGGTGTTGTAAAGGATCTGATGAATGGTGAGACTCATATTGGATTGAACATGCGATTCGTGCTAGAATGCATTTCGCCCTACGTGGAGCATTTATATCCCCACAATCGTGTCGTCATCTGCTTAGTGGTTCCTGCAGCGAGAATGCAACCAGAGTACCTCATTTTTGTGACTGCCTTTCAGAGGACTGTTTGGCACGTGTTGCTGGCCAACTTCCTGATTTTTCTTGTACTCTTAAGTGTCTTATACCATTTAATATGGAAAATCATCGGAGAGACTCGTTGCCGTTGGTACGATGCTTGTGAAATGCTTTTCAAGACGCATTTGGGCCAACCTGTTGATCGTTTTTCGGGAGCTAGTTCTCTACGGATGTTCCTCATGGGATGGATCCTATTCAGCTATGTGTTAACGACAATATATTTTGGCAAACTGGAAAGTAGCTTTGTGCAGCCAAGTTTTGAGGAGGAGGTAGACACTCTGGACCAATTGGTGCCACTTGGTTTGAGAGTACACGGAGTAATAACAATGTTTAATGCTGTGAACTTGTCCCTCTCGAAGGAACATTTCGATCTGCTCACTAAAAGTCATCGTGTGCATCCTCTTAAGGATTCCGATCACTTCTATGAGCTTTCTATCAGTCGCCGGAACAAGAAGGCAGCCTTTATTATGCGTATTGATAAAGCCAAAGAGTTCCTGGCCGTCACCTATAACTCTGAGGTTGGACGTCCCACCTATCACATTGTCAAGCAGTATCTGCGATCTTTGCCGGGCACCTATATCCTACCGATGGGCTCTCCGTTTCGTTACAAGTTTCAGAGTATGCTGAGTGCTTTCTATGAGCACGGCTTCTTCGAGTATTGGCGGCAAATGGATGTGCTGCAACGGAGCCGGACTTCAGGTCAATCTGAGGAGTTTTTCGAGCAATTGGATGAACAGACGGGCATGGACACGGAAGACGCAGCAGCAGATACCGAAGAATGGCGTAAAAAACGTGTTGTGCTCACTTTAGATATTTTGCAAGGCGCATTTTATTTATGGTTCATTGGAATTCTCTTGAGCATTGTAGGATTCGTACTGGAGCAGGGGTATTTCCATTGGCGGCGGACCAATTTAGTATATAAACTCTAGAAACTAGATAATGAGTCCTTGTTGCCCTCTTTATATAGTTAAAGAATTTATTGTCATTCACACATTTAGAAACAATTGACAACAATTTGGAATTTTTCATTCAAAATTAAACAACAAAATTAAAAGACACTACGCACAGCGCCCGAACTGATTTTACTCTGTTGGACATCAGCTGTTGAACCAAGTTCCCGTATCGTGATTTCCCATGTGTTTTCTTGTACCATTGTAGCCAACTATAGAGCTGACATCCCATATCTATTTAGGTCTTCGGCTTGGTAGCTTGCCTCCCGATCCCACTCAAAATGGAGAGATCAGGTGGGAGTGACTTGAAGGCGAAGAAATCTAAACAGGCTGTACGCCAGAAAAAGTCGGATGCGGCAAGTCAGAAGACTAGCGAAATTAGCATAAAGAAAAGTGCCCAAACCGGATTCTATAATCAAGACAGCGATGATGATACGCTTGGGTTGGAGGAAATGCTTAAGAACGACTTTAGCCTGATCCTGAGCGTGACTCCAAAGCCAGAGGATGCATTTTGTACCAAGTCGTCAGAGTATCAGCTAGCCTCGCATTGGTACAAGAAAATACTCGGCATGAATAGCTACACACTTGAAGAATTGCGCTTGCGGCAAGCTTACATGAGTCGTTTGAGCGTATGCCTGCATAAGAAGCGTCTGTCCGGGGTCTTCACTGAAGTGCCCGGCCTGAAATTGGTCTGGGTTGACTTCACAGAGAAGGCCGACAACTATATATGCTGTTCGGGAGCGATGGCCAATTCGGCTGCATGGCAGAATGTGTCATCAATGATGCAGCAACAGCAACAATTGGTAAGATCAGCTGGCAACTGTTGCGGACAGGGAACCAAATCGGGCCAGTGTTGCTCCCGCTCTCTCGGTGGCACCAACTCGCGAAAGCCGCCACAAAAGCCCGCACACAAAGTCACATGCAAATTGAAGCCGAAGCTTGTGCCCCGCCATGTGGGCAAGTCGAAGGACCCGGAGACTAGTCAGCCAGACAGTGCCGATGACCTGGCAGTACCGAGTTCCAGTGGTCATCGCGAGCACTGGCCCATCGATGAGGAGGCGCGCACGGATATGAAATATCTGTTAGAAGCGATCAAGAACGAGTTGCAAAGCCAGGGGAATAGCGAACCGGATGACTATCTGGAACTGGAGCTGACGCGCTATCGTGAATTCTATGCACTCCATCGGCAGACTGAAGCCGACCGGAAGACCATTGCGGCTGCGAAGGATCCACAAAAGGAGCGGATCTTCATGCTGCTCAACATGCAAAAGGATTTGGTCAAGTTGTTGTCTGAATGAAAAATTCAAGCCATAGGTCTTTTTATCTTGTATGTTAGTCTAGCTGAACAATAAACTTTTTGTGTTAGATGACAACAAAATGGGAAATGTGGTCGATAGTTTGCTATAGAGAGGGAAGAGGGATACTTCCTTTGAATATGAGAAGGGTCTCTGTTTATACAGAAAAGTTAGGATAGATGAGCAGAGAAACGTAAAGGTGGGCACAGCTCGTCATTCCACTATATATGATTCGTCCTTTGGGTTTAGGGAGAATCTGTAATATATATAATAAGAGAAATACAGACAAATGGAAATAGGGTAGATACAGAGGTTGTGGTTCCTTTATTAGGGATACTCCCTTTGGGTCAAAAACAGGGTCATATTATATATCAGATTCTTGCTTCGTCTCCTTGTTGATTTTAATTAATTTTCGCTCCCATTCCTCATTGCAGGTCAAAAATCTGTGGATGAACCAACAGTAGTTCAACAGCAGTCGCAACAGCATCAATATTCCAGCTCAAACTCCGTGAACGGATCTCCACAGCGTGTGGCCAACAAGCGCAGCAGCATCACCGTAAATATGCCAGCCGCAGGACTGGGTCAGCGACCGCCTAGCATCATTTCGACAGCCAGCCAGGATGAAAGCGTCGGGGTGGACGAAGGCAAAGATCAAGGGCTCAAGGCGAAGCTGCAGTCTCCTCCTGGTGATGACAACCAGGATCAGCCAGACAGTCTTAACTATGTGGACGTTGGCTATCGTCTCAATCCCGATGGCAGCGAGTCGCGTGAGGTATTCAGCTCAGAGGCGGATCTGTATGTGACGGCTAAGGTGAGCGATATGCAGCGCAAGTTCCATGGCGCCAACGGATTCGTCCAGGAATCCAGCACAGTCTATGCGATTATCGTGCCGGACCAGCAGCAGCAGCAGCAGGCGGAGCCACCAATCGCCACAGCTCCCCGAGCTCTGTTGCAGTCGCCGACGACAAGCGTGGATGGATCGCCGTTACATCGTGGAGTCTTTAATTCACCGCCAGTGGGCGTGGTGTCGCCCATTAGGCGCAGCAGTGGCCAGCAGCAATGTGAGCTAAATGGTGGAGGAAATGATGAAACATGCAGCACTAAAACCCCTTCCCAAATGTCACCAGTCAAGGGTATAGCGCCCATTGCCTCCATCGATCCTCACGAGGAAGAACTCAACGTGGAGGACGAAGAGGACGAGCAGCTGGCCGTT